CTATCATCTGTCCATCTTTAACTAATATATCGAATATTTCATCACATTTAGATATGTCGAAGCTATAAGTTTTCTTAGGAAATTTATCACTGTTTTTCTCAGGTTCTACAGGGTTTTTCCCATTTGATGGCACTAATAATTTACAAGAATATGGTGGTCCTTGTTTTAATTCAGCTAAATCAATTTCGCCTTCTTCGACGTCTATAGGGTCGCTGTATGCCTCTGGATCGTTATCATCCACTTCGACATAAGCTATCTTATCCCGTCGATGAATTTTGGCAGTTTTAGCCTTTTTAGCTTTAAGGCGTTCTACTTGTCGAACTCTATCAGCAAGTTGGGCCATATCTCTTAGGTATTGTGTATCTAATTTTTTCTTAATCGAATAATTCAGGCCCCCTGCTGCTATTTCAACTAGTTCATGCTCAGGCACTTGGGTAAAGCATCTAGCTTTGAGTAGTCGAAACCTATTTAAATATTCATCAATTGGTTCTGTGAACCTTCTCTTCACACTAGCCAATTCTTTTAGACTTATCTTGGTTTGACCCATGTAAAATTGTTCATGGAACAGTCTTTCTAATTGGTTCCAATTGTGGATCGAATTGGCTGAGAGGGTAGTGAACCAAGTAAAAGCATTTTTAGTTAAAGAACTTGGGAAATATTTGATTCTAAGGTTCTCATTGTTTGCTATCTCGCCTGCCTCTATCAAATATCTAGCCACATGTTCGATAGTCGACTCTGTCGTATCCCCTGAAAATTTAGTGAATTTTGGGACTTTTCCCCTAGGTGGTAAGTCTGTTTGCAGAATATACTCAGACAATGGGGATGTAAAGTTTGGTCTATGAAAACCAACATTCATCCCGTTTTGAAGCATGATTCTTTCGATCATAGCGGTTAAATTATTATCCGCCCCATAGTTCTGGTGTCGAACTTGTTGTATTAATTCGTTAGCGTTTTGGTTTCTATTAGCCAAAATAACGCCTTGATCGATTTCTCGATGGTTTCGAGGTATCTCTATTCTGGGTTCTGCTTCTACCCTTGGAACTTGGGGGTTTGGATTAATGGTCAAATCTTCTTCCATGATTACCCCTTGATTTAATCTTATTGGTACCCTCTGGGGTTGTCGAACAACTTGGGGTAGTTGAGCAACTTGAGGTACCCCAAAGAATTCAGCCATGCGCGTCATTTGCGTTGTCATCTGTTGATTTGACTGTGTAGCAGTCTGAATGAGGGGATTTAGCACTGTACTTAGAGTTTGTTCTAACATTTGCACTATTTCATGATTACTTTCGTCCATTTGTTGCCTCAAAATTGTTGTCGAAGCATTTGTGAGACTTGGTATCATATGAGATGGCCCTCCCAAAAATTGGTTTCTATTGGCTCCAGATCCCTGTAATGGTGATGTTGCATTTACCAAAGGTTCTGAAAAGGTGGACGCATCATTCATAAGGCTAGCCATTTCAGTAGTTGGCATGTCATATGGTTGTTCTCGACCCATCCAGGTTGTCGAAAAGCTTGGGGGTACTGTTGATCGAGATCCTAGGTTCATCCTTGGTGGGGGTGTTCCCAAAGGACCTCTTGGACCCACGTACGAAAGTAAAGGTCCAGTTTGATTCATGGTTAACACTGGTATTGATCCAACAGAAGTTGGGATATTCCCTTCGACAGCAGTAGTAACCGCTGTTCCTGTAACTGGTGGAGGTATTTCTCCATGGTTTGGCTCGTTAGCCATACTACTCTCTTCGTTTTCCTTTCTAACAGTATATTGGTTGGTTATTCTACCACTTCTTAATAACATGCAATGTTATAACTGTACAAGAAAAACACAATAACATAGAAAATTAGCAAGGTCCCACCAGGTGTGCCAATTTGTTTACCGTTGTTTTTGGTAAACAACCGCTGATATCCAAAAAGGTAAGGTTTTTGGTTTACTCACGGGATCGACCAAACTAATCCCAGAACATATGCTAATTTTTATGTAAAATGCGGAAGAAGGAAGAACGCACGTTCGACCCAGAGAAAGGATGTTTGAGATTGTTGAAAAGTAAGCAAAAACATAAAAATACGAGTAAAAGAAGTAAAAGAATAACTTTGCAGGATAATGGTAAAATAATGTACAGAGACTTTCATTAAGTAAAAAAGGTGTTTCTAACGTATATTGCTCAACTTTTTATCCTTTCTCACGCAGTAGTTACTTGGATAATATTTGAGAGATTTAGTATAATAGGTTGAACACACTTAAAAATTACACAAGCTTATTAATTTATACTAAAAGTAGGTAACCGTCGAGGGGACATTCTGCGCTAGAATGAAGACAAGTGTCTTCTGCATGTTCCTCGACCCACAACTTTTTGCCACGTTGCCTCTTCTCAGACGCTGATGAAAACTGTCTTTCCCTCCAATAATTCAAATTTCAAATGGTCTTCGATTCCTATACCAAAGCGTGAACACTTTCCCTTAGTCGAGCAACATAATTCTGGTTCAGTCGAGTGAGGCCCTGGTCGAAGATTCTTATCATAACTTAGATATTTTATCTCATGCGTGGAATCATACCTCCTGGTTTGGTTCATTTCCAGTTATTTGGTCCAAAAGACCAAATATAGTAAGTGTCGAATTTAGGAGCCAACACCATCCCAAACATGTCGGGCGAAATGATGATGATAATAGATTAACAGGGAGGTGTCATAAGGCCCTCTTGGATACTCGACGTTCTCCTCCTCAGGCACCTCAACATGCTCGGGTACCTCATCCCTCTCGGGTACCACAAACTCCTTGGGAACGTCCTCCTCATTAGGTACCTAATCATGCACTCGAGAGGTAGACGCATAAGACAGACGACTCCTCGGTGTAAAAGAAGAAGAAGAAACTTCAAGCAAATCCTCCTGTTGTACCCGACCCCGCCCTCGAGCTCTGATAACCTGCTGCAGTGCTCTCTCTCGCCGAGCAGAGGCAGTCTGTCTTGGCCTTCCTTGTCTCAAATGATTGTTCCGGTCCAGGTTGTCCGTCATACTCCCAAAAAATTAATTTAAATTGTTAATTAAAAAAAACAACTCAGACAAGAATTCGGATGTGCACATCTGAAACTGGTCCAGGGGGATTTCGGATGTGCACTTTCGAAACTACCTGCGAACAACCATTATCAACTAACAGTTTCTTCTTGCCCTAAATCATCCTAATACCATTTTTATGTCACCCAAACACCAAAATTAAACTATTCTAAAAGCAATCTACACAATGTCATTGATTCTAACTAACCTAATAAACTTTCTAACATTGCATGGTGAATCAAATGGAAATGGAGTGAAGAAATCTTACACAAGCTTGGAGCTTTGGAGATGAGTTGGAATGACTTGATTAGAGTTGAAATGAAGAGATGAGTATAAATGAATTTAGGGAACAAAGTTTGGATAGTAGAAATGAAGGGTTTTGGTGTAGAAAAGTTAAAGTTTTGTGTTTGAATGAAAGAATTACATTATGTTCGTTGTTTTGAAAACAACAAGGTGACTTCGGAGATGCATCTCCGAAGTCACATTTTTTAATAAAATGACTTCGGAGATACACATACGAACGCACTTATTTTTATCAAATATGATACTTTCGGATGTGTATCTTCGAAGTCTTAGAATATTTAGAAAATTTCACCAAAGATATAACAGAAGTACATTAGATATACAAAGAAATTCTCAACTAACAATTCAATAGTAACAAATACAACTTTAAATTATATAAACATTATTTTCTGTGTAAACCGTAATTATAAATATAAACCCAAATTATATATAAATCACAATTTGTGATAAAACGTATAGGCATATAAGTGGATCATAAAAACGGAAACATAATATATCGATCCAACAGAAAATCCAATGATAGATAATGATAGATTATCAGTATAAAAAAGAAAAAAAAATTATAAACCTTATAAAAATTTAAAGATAAAAAAAAATTCTCAATTTTAAAAACCTAACATAAAAAAAAAAACTCAAAAGAAAAAACACGTAATCAACAACCTAAAAAATATTAATTTATAAATTTGGAAGATCAAAGAATCTAAACAATCTTAAAATCAAATTGAATTGGATATGGATAGTTCTGATATCACTTGTTAAATTTATTTATAAATCTTATAATTTTTATTAATCTAGAAATCAAGAACAAAATCTTAAATAAGTCTCTCAAATCCATACTCGAATATAATTATGAGAATGAAAGCAGAAGTGTGTCTGAATTTGACATTGAGAATTACCAAAAATTTGCAATTATTTGATCTTTTTGTAAAGTTTCTACGACTTCTTGAATCTCCGATGATGGGGATGAAGAGAGAATTTCACTTTATGAACTGTTTTCACGTTGTTTACAAATGAGACCATAATTCCTATAAATAACCTTATAGTTATTTCTTAGTTTTCAATATTCTAATTTGACCATCATCCAATTAGATATTGACTCATGGTATCTACATAATAATCTCATATTTTATGATATTTATAATTTTAGTCAAACACTTAAAATTAATTAGACCACTACAATTATAGTTAATTAATTCATACAATATTATATTTATGAGAATTCGAACACACTACACCTAAATTTTTAGGTGTAAAATACAACCCAATTTTCTTATATTTTATTACTTTTACTATATACTTAATTATTTTTCTGTCGCTTACCCTATCAAGTTCATCAATTGCAAAGTATAAGAATACACAAAACTTGTCACTATAACACAAAATATGACCTTTATACTTTTTCAAGAAATAACAACTAACAAAGAAAGAAGCAGATAGAAAGAATGAAAGCCTTCAAAACTGAATACAATTGTCACCACAAGCTTACTTGAATCTTAAGAAAAAGAAAAAAGAAAGAGAAAATGGCAATCATTGTAAGGTCCTACAAAAATTTCCAACCAATCCAACACATGAAAACAAGATCCATGAAGTAAACAACAATAGAGTTTCCTGCATTCCAAAAATTGGCAACTTTGTTCAAACCTCTCATGACAGTCACAATGAGAACACAGTTGCTACAGAAACAGTGACAACTGCAAGAATGAACATAAATCCAGTTTTCTCCTTCAAACTCATAGCAGAAGATTTAGTATCATCATCTGCAGAAGCTGGACCTTGAGCAGATTTTTTCTTAGAGTCCTTAGGTTTTTGTGGTGCAGGAGCAGGTGGAGGTGACTTGGGAAGGAAGAAATCTCTAGGAAGAAGAACCTTATCAACTTGATATATAGCAAGTTGATGATCAGAAAAAACAGTACCACCAACAGTAGCATTGACAACACCGGTTGTTAAGTTGAGTTGATTCCCTGAACTTGTTATGTTGAATGCTAATCTTGTAGGATCATCACCGGCTTGTGTTCTAACAGGGTTGCTTAAAGTATCGAAATTGGAGAGTGAAACAAAAGAGGGTAGTTCATGGAATTGAATAAGCTCATTCTTTTGTTGATCGTTAAGGGAGTTGAGGAAACCGGGTTTGAGAGATGAAAAGGAGTTATCATTTGGTGCAAATAGTGTTAGGCCGTTGTTTGAGTTGAGAAGCTGAGCATTGATTTGTGTGGCTACTTGTGTTGTTTGGAGCAGGCGGATTAAGGTGGTGAAACCGCCCGCTTTTTTGAGGATTCTGATGATGTCTGTTGGGGCTGATGATGGGGATGGTGCTGGTGATTCGGTTGCTGCTGAACTTGTGGTGGTGGAGTGGAGGAGGATTGTTAGAAGAAGTGAGAGTGTGATGAGAGGATAGTTGAACTTCATCTTTGAGAGGGAAATGAGAAAGTGAGAGTGTTGTGTATGGAGGAGAGAATGGAGAAGTGGTCCTTGAAGTGGAAGTGAGAGGAAAGGAGTGATGTTATTTATTGAGGATTCATATGGGTTAATCTCAAAATTAGGTGGATGGAATGTTTAATTAGCAAAATTTTGATGCTACTACTTATAATCAACTACATGACTCATTTGATTGAATATAGAAATTAAAAAAGTTATAATAAGAATAAACTTGTTGACTGATATTATTTATTACAAAATCAATAATCAAGGCTGGCTCTCAGGATAGATCTCAAAAATTAAATAGAAATTTAATTATTTTATTACAGCTAAATCATGATCCGAACTTTCAAAAACTTACAGCGATTTTTACTATTATATTGATTTTACTATTAAGTTAATACAAAAATAGAAGATAAATAGAACTGTGTCAATATTCCTTTTTGAATAGTAAAATTAATCATCTTAAATATTATATCAATATAAACTCTAACCACATGTAATATATATCTTCTTTCCTATATTTCTCGTCTAGTCTGATATTAAGTGACTTCAATCTCTTTTTTATTATAGTTGTGAGAAATTAAACTATAATTCTTTCTATCAAGTCTATCGATAAATAACACTATATCAACTAACTATTAATTATACTCTTTGTATTTTGAGACAAAGTTTATATATGTTGAATAAACATTAAATGTGTCAGAAATAAAAGCATTGTATTAAGTATGGTAGTAGGAAGGGCAGTAGATTTATTAGTTATGATAGTAGCAATTATGTTTTAAATTTATGTTTTAGAATTGTAAAAGTCTTATTTGGGTCTATAAAAGACCAAGTGTGTAATTTATTTTATTAAGAGCAATATACAGAAGTCTGATTCATAAATCTAACAATTTGGCATCAGAGCTCATGGCGAACATGATGAACCAAATGCCGTTACCACGGCTAACGAAGTCAAACTATGAAAACTGGAGTATCCAAATGAAAGCTCTTCTTGGATCTCTAGACGCGTGGGAAGTGACCAATGATGGGTTTGAAGAACCAACAGAAGTTGGGGGATTTACAGCAGCTCAAACAAAGGCGTTGAAAGAGACGCGAGCGAAGGACAAAACAACATTATATATGTTGTTCAGGACTGTGGATGAATCAGGCTTCGAGAAGATTGCTAGTTCGACTACGTCGAAACAAGCGTGGGACACGTTAGAAAAGGTGTTCAAAGGAGCAGATAGAGTGAAGCAGGTTCGACTCCAAACGCTTCGTGGCGAATTGGAGAGGATACAGATGAAGGATACAGAAACTGTATCTGATTATATCATTCGTGTGCAGAAGGTGGTTAATCAACTCACAAGAAATGGAGAGACAATAGTTGATGCAAGAGTTGTTGAAAAGATCTTGAGATCTTTAACAGACAAGTTTGAAAATCTTGTGTGTGCAATAGAAGAATCGAAGGACCTTTCGACGCTCTCAATCGAAGAGCTCACTGGTTCGCTCGAAGCACATGAATAACGAAAGATGAAGAAGAAAGAAGAAGCAGACGAAGAAGCAAACCAAACCAAAGAATCGAACAAAGATGAAAAGGTACTCTTTTCTCACAACTTTCGAGGAAGAGGACGTGGACGTGGAGGTCGTGACAGTGGTCGAAGTGGTAGAGGTAGCAACTTTGAAAGAGGACATTCGAGCCAACAAAATTGGCGTGGCAGAGGACGTGGTCAAAGAGGTGGTCGTTCGAATTATTCCAACTTCGAATGCTACAAATGTGGGAAGTATGGTCATTACGCGAAGGACTGCAACTCCTACAAATGTTACAACTGTGACAAAGTGGGACATCTTGCAAAAGACTGTCGAAATGAAAAGAAGACTGAAGAGACAACCAATCTAGCCTTGGAAGTTGAATCGAATGAAGGGTTTCTCCTGATGGCTCAAGACGAAATCAACACCAATGACAATATTTGGTATCTTGACTCAGGAGCAAGTAATCACATGTGTGGTTACAAACACCTGTTTAAAGATATGAAGGGAATTGAAGATGGTAGTGTGTCTTTTGGAGATGCATCGAAAGTGAAGGTTGAAGGAAAGGGCACAATCAGCTACTTGCAGAAGGATGGCTTGATTGGATCAATCAAAGACGTTTACTATGTACCAGACCTTAAGACTAACATATTAAGTCTGGGACAACTCACAGAAAAAGGTGCTTCGATACTGATGAAAGATCGAACACTGCAGTTGAAGGACAAAGCAGGATATCTGATTGCCGCTGTCGAAATGGGAAGAAATCGAATGTACAAACTGAACCTGAGGAACATTCGAGAGAAATGTCTGCAGATCGAAGTGCAAGACAAAGCGTCACTATGGCACATGCGCTTTGGTCATCTACATCATGCTGGTCTGAGAAGGCTGGCGAAAAGGAACATGGTGCATGGATTACCAGACATGGAGTTCGAAGGAAAATTCTGTGAAGAATGTGTGCTCAGCAAACAAACAAGAACCTCATTTCAAAAGAAGGCAGAGTATCAAGCTAAATAAATACTCGAATTGATACATACTGACATATGTGGGCCAATCACTCCAGAATCCTTCAGTGGAAAAAGGTATTTCATTTCCTTCATTGATGACTTCTCAAGAAAAACCTGGGTCCACTTCCTGAAAGAAAAATCTGAAGCACTAGAAGTGTTCAAGAAGTTCAAAGTAATGGTGGAAAAGGCAACAGACAGACACATCAAAGCAATTCGATCTGACAGAGGAGGAGAGTATACTTCGATGGCCTTTGTGAAGTACTGTGAAGAACAAGGCATAAGGAGATTCCTAACTGCACCATATTCACCTCAGCAAAATGGTGTGGCTGAAAGGAAGAATCGAACTATCTTTGACATGGTTCGATCAATGCTCAAAAGCAAGAACATGTCGAAAGAGTTCTGGGCAGAAGTAGTACAATGTGCTGTTTATATTCAGAATAGGTGTCCACATTCGAAGTTAGAAGACAAAACACCACAAGAAGCATGGAGTGGACAGAAGCCAACAATTTCCCATCTCAAAGTATTTGGTAGCATAGCTTATGCACATGTACCAGACCAACGAAGAACAAAGCTTGAAGACAAAAGTCAGAAGTACATATTCATTGGATATGATGAGAAGACGAAAGGGTATAAGCTTTTCAATCCCATAAGCAAGAAAGTGATTGTGAGCAGAGACGTTCGAATGAACGAAGCTAGCAAGTAGGACTGGAACATTTCGACAGAGGTTGTTGACACAGTCGAAGAAACAACTATAGCTGTACCAACAAGTATTCCAGAAGAACATGAAGAAACAAAAGATGGAGATGAACCTCTACAACCCAGAATGAGAAGTTTGCAAGATTTGTATGACTCAACAAGTGAGGTGCATCTTGTGTGCCTTCTGGCAGATGCTGAAAACATCAGTGTTGAAGAAGCGTTAAGAGATGAGAAGTGGAAAAATGCCATGGACGAAGAGATTAGAGCAATCGAACGCAACAATACTTGGGAGCTGGTCGAATTACCAAAAGGAAGTCAACCCATTGGTGTAAAGTGGGTATTTAAGAAAAAGATGAATGCTCAAGGAGAAATCGAAAGATTCAAGGCACGGCTGGTTGCCAAGAGATACAAACAGAAAGCAGGAATTGACTATGACGAAGTGTTCGCGCCTGTTGCAAAAATGGAGACAATTCGACTACTCATCTCTCAAGCTGCTCAGTTCAAATGGCCAATATTTCAAATGGATGTCAAGACAACATTTTTGAATGGTGTGCTCGAAGAAGAAATCCATGTCGAACAACCACTTGGATATATGAGAACTGGAGAAGAGAAGAAGGTGTTGAAACTGAAGAAATCACTATATGGGCTAAAGCAAGCACCTAGGGCATGGAACACACGTATTGACACATATTTTAAGGAGAATGGATTCGAGCAATGTCTTTATGAACCAACCCTCTATGTGAAGAAAAATGGAAGTGATTTATTACTTGTTGCTCTTTATGTTGATGATCTTATTTTTCTAGGCAGTAATGTTCAGATGATCGAAGACTTCAAAAGCACCATGACAAGCGAATTCGAAATGACAGACTTAGGTCTGATGAGATTTTTTCTTGGTCTGGAGGTTCGACAAGAAGAAGCTGGAATCTTCATATCACAAGAAAAGTATGCAAAGGAAATCCTAGAAAAATATAAAATGAAGAATTGCAATCCAACTTCGACGCCAATGGAGCCAGGTACAAAGCTGTTGAAGTTTGATGGAGGAGAACGGGTCGAAGGAAGCAAATATCGAAGCTTGGTAGGTAGCCTTCGATATCTCACATGCACAAGGCCAAATATTTCTCTAAGTGTTGGCATAGTGAGCAGATTCATGGAGGAGCCAGTACACACACATTGGAAGGCGCTGAAACGAATTCTAAGATACATCCAAGGAACAATATCACTTGGGATGTTTTATTCAAAGACAGAAGACTACAAGCTAGCTGGTTATTCTGACGGTGACTGGTGTGGAGACATAGACGATCGAAAGAGCACTGCTGGAGATGTGTTTTTCATAGGAAACACAGCTTTTACTTGGCTATCGAAGAAGCAGCCTATAGTGACACTTTCGACGTGTGAAGCAGAATATGTGGCAGCATCCTGGTGCGTCTGTCATGCAGTATGGCTCAGAAGGTTGATAAGCAAGATGGAGCTGAAACAGGAAGGTCCAACAATAATACAAGTGGACAATAAATCAGCTATTGAATTAGCAAAGAACCCAGTGAATCATGAACGAAGCAAGCATATAGACGTTCGATTTCACTTCATTCGTGAACATGTGAAGGAGGGAAGCGTCGGACTAAGGCATGTAGCAAGCAGAAACCAAGCAGCGAATATCTTCACAAAACCACTATCAAAAGAAATATTCGAAAGAGGCAAGAAGATGATTGGAATGCTGGATAGAAGAAGCATTTAAGTTTAAAGAGGAATTTTGTTGAATAAACATTAAATGTGTTAGAAATAAAA